AATTCCAAAAGAGTTTGCGGATCTGTTTCGAAAATTATGGGAGCAAACATAATTTTTGTTTTTAATTTTTTTTATAATATGTCAAATTTATTAAGGGTAAACTTGACTTTAGCTATATTTCTAATTAAAAATAAATCAAAATAATAAAAGTTTTTATAACAAGGATTTATTAAGTTTAAAGTTTGTTTTGAGAGTTACAATCCGAGAAAAATTCTCTCATTCTCTCTTCAGTTTTTTGCTCCATGACTCCATCGATGGAGATTTCTCCATTCCGGTGAAGTTGTTGTTGTCAAGGTTTCGTTTTTCTCCGTGTGGGATGTGGCCTTGGTAATCTCAACGGCTCTGGTGGCTTTTGTAGGGTTTTACGGCGTCTCCGGCTTGAAGAAATTTCATATCTGGTCCTGAGGAGTTCTCGAGGGATGAACGGCGGCTCAGTTGGTGCTCGAAGGTTGTCGATGGAGTTTGGGTGGGCGTTTTGCGGTGGATCTTGGTGAATCGCCTTGCTTTCTTCTTACTGCTTCACCACACGGCGAGATAGCCTCAGATCTAGCCTTACCTTCATCGATTGGAGAAATCAGTGGCTCGGGTCACGGTGGTGGTTTCTGCTCGTTGACTCTGAGCTACACTTTTATGCTCTAATGGCGATGGCCTCACTAACAGCTTCTTCTTCTGCTATTACTCTCCTCAACAAACCCTTTGTACTTAACCGATCTTCCTTCTTCTCTTCCTCCTCCATTTCCCACCATCGTCTTCTCCGATTCTCTGCTTCTGCTTTCATACGAGCCGTTTCTCTTGAATCGGTAAGCTCTGTTATTTGATTTGGGTTTTAAATTTGTATTATATAAGTAGCATACTTGAGCTTCAATGGTGTATTTTTTCAGGACACAAGTGAAACTCCAAGTTTTGAAATTGAGGAAACACAAATTTTCGCTTGTCCTGTTTACTACGAACGACTTATGAGAAAAAGCCCTCATGTATTAACCTGTAAGTTCTTACCTTTCTCTCATTATATAAACCCAATATTGTTGTTAATGATTGAAAAGTTTGTTTCTTTTGATTTCTCTAAAGCTTTTTTTGTGATGCAGACAATCAGTATACAGGTCTGGATTCAAATGTGGACAGTGTAACAAGACATACTCTAGCAAAGATGAATACTTGGATCTTACTGTTACTGCTGATTTAGATAATTTCAATGATATTAAACCCATTACAACCGAACTCTTTCGGTATCATTTACTACTTCAACAACATACACTCATTTTATCATCTGTTTATTTACTTTCAAGAGTCAACCATCTTAGCTTAAAGTCTTGTTTGTGTAGGAGTCCATTAGTATCATTTTGTATTAAAGGGGTTGGAGAGATAACTTTAAGCGTAGCGGTTATCCTGGTGCTGAGGAAGAGGTACTTACTAAGGCCTTTTTTGGTCTTCGATTTGTCGATCTTGTTTGTTTCTTTATGGTCTAATACTTTGGTTGGAAATGTTGAGGACTGCAAAATTTGGTAGTTCGCCTTTTTGACCAACACTTGAAGATCAATATGCAGAAGCACGACTATCTTGGAGAATACAACTTTGAGGTATCTTTTAAAATTATTTTTCCTTCATTTCAAGTATGCAAATTTCTTTCTTTAGTATAATGTTTTTCTATCTTTCTTTGATGTCGTTTTGATTGTAGCATATAGTGGGATTGCATTTATATAGTTTCCTCTGCTTTGTTGCTATATTTGTGTGACTTATCCTTTCTTAAAACTGTGATTCTAAAGCGTTATTAGACTATCACGTTGTTATGTGTACAAGAATGGTGGTAAGTCTCTTGATATTGTGTTCGAAGCGTCATGTGATGTGCGAGCTTCATGTAATTGACTCACACTTGAATCGTGATGCTCATGTTTATCTACACTGGATCAGTCGGCATAACAATTGAGATTTCAGAAGACCTTCTATGAGTAGCAGATCATTAGAGAAGTTTGTTTTTCTTTGTCCTCTAACTCATAAATCCTTATGATTAGCAACTTGTTGTGTATGATTATCATAGTTTTTATTGAACATTTTGTTTGGATTATAAATTTGTAACACTTGTTATGTTGTTTTTATGAAATAATAAAACATTTAAATATATATTGTTGGGCAAATTTA